GTTGTTGTATGCACAACGTATGTCTTTAAGTTGTTCAGCTTCCTAAAAAACCTTATTGTTTTGGAGAGGAATGGTTTTTATTAACATTTTAATGTTTTCACAACTTATATCTAGCCCTTTGTATTAGCTTCAAATGTATTTAATTCCTTTTACTTAATTAGTAATTTGATTTAAATCCAAACAGTTCACAATTCGTCAAAGAAGCCAGTGGTGTGATGAATTTTGTTAATATGATCAAAAAGCCAAGTGTAAACTTTCAAATAAACTGGTAAGTTCAACTTCAGTATAAAATGCCTAGACTGAAATATTAATTGAAATAATATTGTTGTAAATAAATCAGGTAGAGCACACTTAATTGAGGAGTAGGTTCAGTTTTGGTGAAGTCTGGTTTTCATTGGTCAAATATAGCTCTAGTTGCATTAAGCATATCCATGTCTTGTCCAAGGCTGTTGTGGGTTTATTTGAATTTAGTTGTGAAGAAATTTGAGGTAAGTGTAACATATGACCTAATGGAAAAAAACACCATCACTTTAACATCACTCACTCGATTACAGGATTAATCCTGTATCTTAAAAAATTTAAAATTACTGAATAGTACAAAACGTTCCCCTTTTAGAAGAATAACTGAATATTTTTGTGTAAAACTAGTTTTCAGTTTTGTTTTTTATACATCGTCCATTTAGCATAAAACCCAGCAGGGAAGTGATTCATTTTTAATGCTAGTTTTACAGTTTGAGTGCCATATTTTTCAACCTGCCTAAGGCACAGTTTTGTTCACACAGGTCTTCTTTTTTCCTTTTTGAGCAACCCATATTTTTACCAAAATTGCATGGTAAATCAAAATGGTTCACACAGAGAAGAGGTTAGGTGTGAATATTGATATTAATCATTATAACCTATGGTTTTGTAATGAAATTGCTTTTGGCATCCAGGTAACTATTTGTCATATAATTACATATTGCATATATGGATCTGGATTTAATTAATAGAAAGTTGGCATTTCATTCCATGGTTTGAAAACTGATCTCTTAAATAGTACATTTCACTCTTTTTCTGCAGAATGAAAGTCAAACTCATCCAACAAAAGATAATTAGGAGTCTGTTCCAGTTTCATCAAACTTGCATTTACTGCACTGTTGTTTTTTAATAAATAATTTGTGGAAATCAAATCAGTCAACCTGGAGGGTTTTTAGCTGCCGTTTGGTGTCATGCGTAGTTCAAGATAAGTTTATTTTTCCCAGAGGGTTTGTTTATTTTTCATCTGATAAAATAGTGAAAGAGTAGTTTAATAGATAGACTGGCCCCACTTCTTATTTCCCTTCACTGTATTTCTATTACGCGGGTGCTATTTTATCACTTGCAGTCAGTTTTAGTCTTTTATACATGGGTTTACCTATCATAACACCAGAGCTGGTGCTGAGATTTGTTTCTGCATTTTTATAAGTCAAATTAGCATATTTATGTAGCAATTTTTTTTCATTGTAAAAAAAAGAAAAGTCTTTCTATGGGCCATTCTCTTTATCTGAATTCCGTATAATGAAAGGAAAAACTGATGTTTTCACAGTCCTATCTTTTTTTTCCCTTTCTGGCTCCCTCGCTCTCTGGCACGTCTGTACTCTGGATTCTGTATATTTGTGGCCCCTGTCTCTTTCTCTCCCGCACACATATCTTCTCCTGTGACTCCTTTTTTCAATTCTCCTTGGTTCTCCTTCTACCCTCTCTCCTTACCTTTTTCCCCCTTTTTTCGCTTCTCTATCCTCCTCTCTCTCCCGCTCCCTTGCTCTCTCCCAGTGAAAGGCTGAGAATACCCAAGGGAGCTGATGCAATTAAAATGCTAATCCTGTCTGTCTACAGAGAGAGGGAGAAGGAGGGGGGGGGCTGACAGCATGAGGGATTGCGGCTCACATGGAGAACTCGACTGAAATGGAGAACAGGGGGGGTGGGGGG